TACATGTGATTTACATCTGTAAATCATTTTGTTCATCAGTATTTTCCATTACTAATCATACATTCATTTAGATATAGCACAATTTTGACTCCGGATGATTCCTTCATACCCGGTATCGCTCTCAGCCTCTGTTCCTTAGCTTTGTGGCAGTTTGATATTCCGAAAAGTGACAGGTTAGTTATCAATTTTCAAATTTGATTCCTTTTCAACATTTTTTTTTTCAGAAAGTACATAGATAAACTGGGAACGCTAGTAACATTTACGGCTATTGTAAGTCTGATGTTCGCCACGGTGTCGATTTATAGGCTGAACTATATACTCACCTTTACCATCGTAATGGTAACGCTTCATCAAATATTAGCTCCGAAATTAGATGATGATGCAGCGGCTGAAGACAATGCGGGGGATGATGATGACAGCAGAGTCAAATACAATGACTTCAAGTCCAAAATGGAGTAAAGTTACCGAATTTGATCAAAATTCGAGGCCTTGAGATCCGATGGGTTAGACGGAACTGAAGCAGAACTCGCTTTTTTTTCATTGTGTTCATTTTTTCAGATCTTGAATCACAGTATGACATGACGATAAATTATTTTGCAGTAGCTCTGGCAATGATAGTTCAAATTGAAACGAAGACACACATAATACTCCTTAAATGTTTAGTAACTCAGCATTATTATACTTGCTCTTGAATGACTCGCCAAACGAATAAGCCTCACCAATAATACGAAAAATGTATTTTCCACTTACATTATTTTCATGTGTACATCATTCAATACATTATGACATGTATTTTTTTTTCATTATGTGACAAAGGAATGAATTAGTGACTGTGAATTATTAGAATAATAGTTTAGAAATGCTCTGAAAAAGTATATAGAGATGCCTAATTATTTTCAAATATTCAATAACGGCATTGTATACTTTAGTGATATCATAGAAATAAATTATTACTGTTACTTATGTAACAACCTTTGTTTCTTTTACCTCCGTATCGAAAAGAGAATAATACATGTATCTAAGAATAATTTGTAAGAAAAGTTGGATTTGTTTAACTGACGTCACAAACATGGCCGAAATTTTTGATATTTCATAACACTCCTATATTATAACCTTGGTATCATCTGTTGTTTTGATGATTTGATAGACGAGGCAAAAATCGAAATCTGTCGCTCCTATTGTATTCAGATCTGTAATTCATAGACCATCTATTTGGACGACTGTTAAAATGGCCTGGAAAGAGAATCAGAACAACAGAATACAGGCCTGAAGACAAAATACCTCACAGAAGAGGCACTCCTATGGAGGGGAGGCAAATTCTCTGTTCGAAATGTTCAATGTAAGTTTTAGTGGTGAATTCAAATTATTTGAAACATCAGATATATAATTTGATTGCAGTCGAGAAATTATCACGATGTCGTCTCGGCAGGTTGTTAATCTACCATTTCAACCAAACTAGCTTAATTTCACCATGTTAATGTTCACTAACCATTCGATGAAATTTTTAAGTTGACAGTAATCACCTCGAGATTCTCAAAGAGTTCATGTTTGTGTTCCGCGCTGAGTGTCCCTTCTGCAAGGTATTCTGTGTCCGAAGCATAGATCACAGAACACTATGCCTGACGTAGTTGTCAAAATAATGTAGGTTATATTTGTTTATGTGGTGGGGAATATGGGGATTGGACTTTGAATTTTGATTTGAGCATTAATGATATTTCTTTCCATTTTATCTTTCAAATAATCTAACCCAAAGTGTACATTCTCTGTGAAAATATTGATTAAGCTCACCGTATTTTAAGCTGTAATTCTTAATTTTTTTCTTGGGTGAAAATGATAAACACTGGGTAAGTGTGTTTTTATTCCTGATACAATTATTTTTATTGCCTAATATTTGTAAAATACTAATAGATAAACAATTCATTCGTTTAAAAACTATCTAGAGTTCGATTAGTTTGATAACCTTTTTTAAAGATAGAATAACTGTTTTTTTAATGATTTAGGTTGACCCCATTTCAAGTATCTCTATAATATATGTTTCCACCTTCAACATTTTCACTGTTGCTTCTGTAGAAAACTTGCAGGGTTAACAGTTTTCATAACCGGAGCGAGTCGAGGTATAGGAAAGGCAATAGCTTTGAAAGTAGCAAAAGATGGTGCTAATGTTGTTGTCGCTGCTAAAACTGCAGAGCCCCACCCTAAACTACCTGGAACCATATACACAGCATGTGAAGAGAGTGAGTTTGTTATTTGCTAGTAGAAAATCAAATGAAAGAGATTTTATTCAAAATTGAAGGTTTTTCTGTTTCCAAGTAGTAATCGTCTTTATTTTGTCTGTTTCCAGTTGAGAAAGCAGGTGGCAAAGGACTACCGTGTGTAGTAGATGTGAGGGATGAACAAGCTGTGAAAAAGGCTGTAGAGGAAGCTGTACAAAAGTTCGGAGGCANCTTTTTGTCAAATCTTATCTTCATCCTGTCGCTGAAAGCTGTAATTTGGTCCTGGCAAATTCGTGTACAATTTCCAGTCTGTCTTGAGGACTGCCATACAATACATCTATGGGAAGCTTCAGTTCCCTACCAGTTGACAACATGGATGGTGCACTTTTTGGTATGTCCTTAAGCTCTCTCAGCGATTCAGTTTTTATCTACTCAATCGTCACAAAATGCCATGCATTCATGGGTCTTTTCAGTCTTGAAAACGGGAAAAAGTCGCAGAGGGCCAAATCTGGTGAATACGGTGGCTGAGGCATGATTACCGTGTATTATCGTGATGCAAAAGCCATTAATTGTTTATCCACAATACAGTAATTCATAATGTTTCTCGCAAGGGACGCATAACTTCAAGATAATACTCCTTATTGGTCGTACGGCCATGCGATAAAAACTCCTGCTGCACTACGCCGTGGTAATTGAAGAGTGAGCAAAACCTTGGAATTGTATTGAACTTGCCGTGCTTTTTTGGTCGTGGCTCTCCTGGGTTCTTCCATTGGGACAATTGGACTTTGATTTCGATGTCATAACCTTATGTTTGTTTGAAGGTGATTCATAACCATATACCCACGATTCGTCACCAGATATGACGCTTTTGAGCAAATCTGTATCGCCGTTGACGTCATTCAACAATTCTTGAGCGATGCTCATGCGACGTTTTTTTTGTGAAAATTCAGCATTTTTGGAACAAGTTTTGCTGCCACTCGCTTCATGTCCAAAATTTCTGAAAAAATTTAATGGCATGAGCCAACCGATATGCTGACATCCTTAACAACTTCTATAATAGTCATTCAACGATCCTCCATAACAATTTTCTTCACCTTCTCAACATTTTCAGCGGTTGTTGATGTGCTGGGGCGTCCAGGCTGAGCATCATCATTTACATCTTCTTTTCGGGTTCAGAGTACAGTGACCGTATGCCACTGTCAACATTTAAAGTGTTTTTGATTCCATTTTTTTACACAAAATTCAATGCAAACTCTTTAATTCATTTTTAACTCTTAGCAGAAAACGCCAAACACTTCTAATTTTTTAGGCCTCTCCAACCAACTTAAAACTGTGAACATATGTTCGTGACAAGCGTACCAACATAGCAAAATCAAAAAATCACTAATCGAATGTACATAGCTAGTCCGCAAAATTTGAACATTACCTTATTTTTTAACAAACCGCGCACATAAAAAGTTACTTTGGTATTAACCTTTTTAGTTTAAGTATATATTTAATTTTGCCGTATTATAATATTTTTAAGTATGAATTTTGATTACATGTGATTTACATCTGTAAATCATTTTGTTCATCAGGATTTTCCATTACTAATCATACATTCATTTAGATATAGCACAATTTTGACTCCGGATGATTCCTTCATACCCGGTATCGCTCTCAGCCTCTGTTCCTTAGCTTTGTGGCAGTTTGATATTCCGAAAAGTGACAGGTTAGTTATCAATTTTCAAATTTGATTCCTTTTCAACATTTTTTTTTTCAGAAAGTACATAGATAAACTGGGAACGCTAGTAACATTTACGGCTATTGTAAGTCTGATGTTCGCCACGGTGTCGATTTATAGGCTGAACTATATACTCACCTTTACCATCGTAATGGTAACGCTTCATCAAATATTAGCTCCGAAATTAGATGATGATGCAGCGGCTGAAGACAATGCGGGGGATGATGATGACAGCAGAGTCAAATACAATGACTTCAAGTCCAAAATGGAGTAAAGTTACCGAATTTGATCAAAATTCGAGGCCTTGAGATCCGAAGGGTTAGACGGAACTGAAGCAGAACTCGCTTTTTTTTCATTGTGTTCATTTTTTCAGATCTTGAATCACAGTATGACATGACGATAAATTATTTTGCAGTAGCTCTGGCAATGATAGTTCAAATTGAAACGAAGACACACATAATACTCCTTAAATGTTTAGTAACTCAGCATTATTATACTTGCTCTTGAATGACTCGCCAAACGAATAATCCTCACCAATAATCCTCACCAATAATACGAAAAATGTATTTTCCACTTACATTATTTTCATGTGTACATCATTCAATACATTATGACATGTATTTTTTTTTCATTATGTGACAAAGGAATGAATTAGTGACTGTGAATTATTAGAATAATAGTTTAGAAATGCTCTGAAAAAGTATATAGAGATGCCTAATTATTTTCAAATATTCAATAACGGCATTGTATACTTTAGTGATATCATAGAAATAAATTATTACTGTTACTTATGTAACAACCTTTGTTTCTTTTACCTCCGTATCGAAAAGAGAATAATACATGTATCTAAGAATAATTTGTAAGAAAAGTTGGATTTGTTTAACTGACGTCACAAACATGGCCAAAATTTTTGATATTTCATAACACTCCTATATTATAACCTTGGTATCATCTGTTGTTTTGATGATTTGATAGACGAGGCAAAAATCGAAATCTGTCGCTCCTATTGTATT